ATGTCACACTTGAATTGTTTACTCGAATAATTGTGAAACTCCTCGTTTTGTAATTTTGTCCAACTCGCCACAGTTAAACAGCGGGTGGTATGGGAATTGACGTTCCGTGTGTAATGATCAGGGCACTCGTCGCCCAGATGATGGATGCAGCAAGTATGCTCGAAACGTCGGCAAACCTCTGCCGGTCTACGCCGCGTAGCTACTCAGCGGGCGTGTGTGTATCGCGAAGTTCGCTTCATTAATTCCGATCAGATGCAGAGCTGAGTGATTCACACGTAAGTTGTGAAAATGTCGGCCATTCATTTTCATGAAGTCGCTCCGTTCAGGCTGTGCGGTTCTTGACTGCTCGCTCATCCAAATGCGCCGATGTCGATGCTATTCAGCACGATGCGAATAATTAGCCTCTTTCCCCAGCTGTGGTTGCCCACGTGACGCACTCCGCATCACGCTTACCGGAATTTGTTTGAATAACCTTTCGAGTAAATGCATTTTCAGTGAATGGTGTGTGTCACCTTTGCGTGGAGGTGAGGTCATCTTTCTTCCTGCCTTACATGTCAGCAGCGTCTCCACTCGGCAGTTTATTAACCCTTTAAAGCCCACTGGCAATCGCCACTTCTTCGATTTGTATGTATTGGCGATCATTTGCTTCGATAGCCTTTGCCAAGTGTTGTTTTCTTTGAGGTACGGACCGAATTCTTAAATATTATTCAGACCAGCGTCGGCTGCAAGAGACAGTTTGTGTCAGATTTCTCACCTTTGCTGGACTCTGAATGTCGAAAATATAAATTGTTGCAGTGTTTTCTTCATATTAAATCGCCCTGATGATGGCGGCAGCAATGACCCCTGAAACGTCGGTGAAGTTCTACCAGCGATCCTAATGTTTTGTTTCGTTCTGTTTATTGTTTAATCGTTCTTGTAGTTTGGATTTGACGCACTTTTGATCAGCCGATCATTTAGCATTGATAATTGACTTAATTTATGCAAGCACGAAGCTCAGGCAAAACAGGTTTCGTGCGTCAGAGCTCGCCAGTACTGGTTTCGGCTGTAGTCACGTGTTTTAATCAAGTGGGCCGGTTAGCCAGGCGGTGTCGTGGGTTAAGTTTGCGGCAAGGACACGCGACGCGATTTGCGCCAGGCTTTATCGGCGCACTGCATTGTTTGTACGAATTACGAAATTGTCCCGCGTTGCTCTTGCGTTCTCTCCGCCAGGCTCCTCCGGCCTCTGGTCAACCTGACATCGAGTGTTCGGCCTGAAGTGTGCACCCGCGCCTGCCCATGTGTTTCGATGCGATCTGAGATGTGAGCCCTTGCAGAAAGCACCACATGTTGGCTGTCAACAACATCTGTTGGGATGAAATTATGTTTTCCGATTCCAGCCGCTGAAAGGTAAATCACCAGTCTGTGCGGCGGGGGTGGGGGTGCCTGTTTGCCGCCGCGACGGTATGCCTCCGCTATTAAGAAAGACTTTCCGGGTGACCAGTTCTCCGTTACAACCATCATGGCGCCTCGTAGCGATGGAAAGCGACGGAAGACGGTGGTCGTAGAACGGGTTTGCACTGAAAGCTGCTTATGATCGCCTGCGAACAAGACCAAGAGACGGAGGAGAACAGGTGTCCTTCTGCGAAGAGATTTGTAGGCTTCTGTGAGTCGAATGAGGAACTGCTTGTGCAAAAGCCCGCACTGGCTGTGACTTCAGTGCGATGGAACTCCCACCAAACAGGATGTGATCAGCTGAGTGACTATCAGCTTTTCAAGAAGGACTGTGTTCCACTTGTTGTAACCGCGTCAAAGTAGGAAACCTTCGAGTCGTAACAGGATGTAGATGGCAGCACGCGAAGCTCACTGGACGTGCAGTACGTTGCGGCAATTCAGAGCCATCTTACCCGTGCCGCCATGTTTGCAGTGAATTCGGAGCTATTTTTAAATTCTGTGACTTACTAACCAACGCACGATTCGTCGTCCGCGCGTGAATAGAATCTAACGACTTCCGTTGCCTTTGCCTTATTCGTGTCGGTGCGACGACGTCTGGAAGGTGCCTCGGAGCACTGCGGGTGGTCTGTCCGATGGACGGTGAAAACGGAACGCCTCTGCGTCCAGGAATGTGGACACGGCGGAAAGGATCGCGCGTCGTAGTGTGACGGCGGGCGTCGTCAGCGGATGGAAGCACTTGGACGCAAGGCTTGCGCCTTGGAGACAAAAATCGATTGTTTTCTTTGAACAGTGTGGTTTTTTCATCGTCGCCTTCCGGGTTGTGACGCCTCTGTCGCTGGAGACAGCAGAGTCCAGCCCGCACGAGGGCGTGACGCGTGCCAGAGTAATGCTCGCATCCGCCCGTCTGTGTTGACGCTGTGGCGCAGAGCAGGTGCAGCTCCTCACATTCTTAATGCAGGTGAGTGGTCAGCGTCACGCCGGACAGGACGCCGGTTTGGGCAGTGTTCTAGACCTCTTCTTTTATTGCCCGAAGTAACTGACGTCAGCTGCCACCATCACGCCGATTGCACCAGGCACCGCTCCTTCAGCAAATGTCATTAACAGATTCAACTTCAGCGGCCTTGCATTCTAAGTGGCGTTAACAAAGTCCGTGGAACAGACATTCCTGACAAACTGATAGTGACCTACCCGATCCGGAAAAATCTCGACGTTAGATGGCGGTGAGTGGTCAGTCCTGGCACCTTGGTGTGCTCCAGAAACCGACCTCTGCTGCCCCTGCCGGACATCGAACCCCGGTCTTTGTACCTCGGTTCGTAGTATTCGGTTACGTCATAAGGATATCTTGCTGGGGGAATCCCCAGGCCTAAGATCTGAGTGCAACGCGGAAGTCAGAATCATGTTTCAAGGGATTACGGAAAGTCGCACCGGCGTTCTGCTTCGAGTCTGCTGTGCTCCGAAACTTGTGGACAGACGACGTTTCCACATTTGCCCCGGATCTCGTTCGACGACTTGATCGGCGTGTGTTTCACTCAGAAACCTTTTTGTGCGCCTCAGTACTTTGACAACTGCAGAA